GCTGAACAGGCCCAGCTCCCTCAGCCTCTCCTCATAGGGCAGATGTTCCAGGCCCCTGATCATCCTCGTGGCCCTGCGCTGGACTCTCTCCAGCAGCTCCACATCCCTCTTGTACTGTGGAGCCCAGAACTGGACAGACGCTGGTGAGGCCACCGCGCGTTTCTGGCGGCGTCCGCCTTCCTACGTGGCTTTAGCTAATAGGGAAGGAGCTTCGTAACGCGTGACCCTAATATTCGTGGATGTGGATCCTCTCTTCTACAGCGGGCAGTCTTTCAGTATCTGGTTTACAGCTAGTGTTTGGAGTCCTAAAGGATGCAGAAGGATCCGCAACACTCTTAGGGTGAACTATCACTGCTCTTCTGCTGTTTTGGGGGATAAGGATGGTTATGACCCATCTTCCCCACTTCAGGAGTAGTATTAAGGATCTTCTAATGTATATGCTGAGCACAGAGCATCTTGGCTTTTAAGCTTTCATCTCTGTTGAGATACAAATACATGGTGCTGTAGTCAAGGATGTAACGTAGTGACCCCATCCCACTGGTTCAGGCACCCATGTCCCACCTGGACTCTGCTAGTGCCTCCCAGCTGCTGCTCAAGTTGCTCATTCTCAAAGCACATCCTCAAATCAGTGGGTCATTTGTCACCTGTACCCAAGCTCAGGCCACAGTGTCTCACAGGGGGACCCTTGGCCAGCAGCCCAACCCTGTCCTTGACCCAGGAACCTGCTGCCAGGCAAGAAGGCTGGTGCCAAGAGCAAGGACAAGTGTGTTTCTCTCCTGAGCCATCTCCAGCTTCCTCCTGGATGCCACTAATTAAACGCAGGATGTTCTTACCGGGCCAGGCTGGTTGGGGTAGTGAAGGGACCTGTTAATGGAGAAGGAAGATGAGAGTCAGCAGGGTGGTCAGAGAGGGCTGCAAAGCTACTCTTTACTACATCATAGTTATAAAATGCTAGTGAAGGGGGGAAGAAAAGTATTAGTAGTTCATGGTTACCCTTCAGGAGGGTAGAAACTGAGCATCTGAATATAAGGAGCAAAGTATTTCTGGCTGTTCTTCTCTCTCCTACAGTTCAAGGCAAGCAGCAGCTCTCAGAGTTATTGCCCTCAGATTGTTTTTACACCAGTGGCATCATGTTTCTTCTGGCCAGAGCCCCAGATCCAGGGACTCCTCCTGCCCCAATGCTCACTGCACAGCAGTGATGATGCCCCAGGTGCAGAAGTCAGGAGCTTGGGGGGTTCTTGGCTGTAGCTTTCCTCTGTAACCTTTGGGAGGTCTCTCAGTTTGCTCTGTGAGCTGTTTCTTATCTCTTACAATTAAACGTTTCCCTGCTCTCGTGTCCTTGACACCCTGGGAACTTGATATTTCACTGATGATTGTGAAGCACTCGGATATTGAGGCCCTGGGGACTGAGATGGGCAGCCTGTGCAATGAGGAACCTGACCCTGGGATCAGGGCATTTTGAGGGATGCAGTGGAGGTAAATCCTGCCCAAGACTGAATGGAAAGAGTTGGTAATTAGTCCACACACACACACGTATATATATATATAGACATATGTATATACACACACGTGTGTGTGTAGACAGTGGCTTTTCAACTAATTGCACGTGTTTTACTTCATTGACCTTTCTTCTCAGGCCCAGGGAAACCCCTGTCCACCCTGTCTTTTCCAAAAGACGACCTCGCTTCTGCGTGCTGTGACCAGGAGTTTCCTTTCCCTTGTTCTTGGGCTTCTGCTTCCAGACACCACCTTCCTGTTAAACACTGTCTAATACAGCTTGAAAACTACAGATTGACAGGGCATCTTAGGTAGATCCTCTTCTACTCTTCCAGCTCCATCCTTCTCCTTATCCATCCTCCCTGTGACGGCTGCTCTTGCCCCATTTCCTAAGCAAGAAAATAATCACAAAAAAATGTCCTGCCTCATTTTATCTGCTGTGTCACTTTGCTCATTACAGGTCAGAGGGATGAAGACTACCCAAGGAAAGAGCAAGGGATACATACCTCCTCTCCAGAACACAGTGAAGCCCACGAGCGCCAGCAAAACAAGTACTTTAATTCCCAGCGGCACAAAAATGAGGATCAGGAGCAGGTCGCTGTTGGCCGCTTTGAATTTGTAGAAGTAGACGGCCCCCTCGGCCCGGCCGTGGCTGTTGACGGCGGTGCAGGTGTATTTGCCGTCCTGCGCCAGGTGCTGGAGCTCCTTGGTGACCTGGTGGCTCCCGCTGGTGAGCAATATGTACAAATACCTGAGGGGAGAATGTAAAGAGAATGTGGCAAAACTCTTCTTGGTGATGGCCAGCAATAGAACAAGGGGTAATGGGTACAAGTTGAAACACAGGGAGTTTCATCTCCATGTGAGGAAGAACTTCTTTCCTGTGAGGGTGACAGAACCCTGGAACAGGCTGCCCAGAGAGGCTATGGAGTCTCCTTCTCTGGAGATCTTCCAAACCTGCCTGGATGCGGTTTGGAAGTCCAACCCCAGAGGGATTGGACTAGATGATCTATAGAGGGCCCTTCCAACCTCAATCATTCGGGGTTTCTGTGATTTGTGCCATGTTTTTGGGCACAGGAGACACTGTGTGTCCTAGCAGGGTGTCAGTGGCATTTGCATTTCATTTCCTTTCACCTTCCACCTTCACTTCCCCCCCCCATTTTTTCTCTGTGCATGTGTGGGTGCAACATGTGTTGCCTCCTTATCACTTCTTGTGCAGGTTACTGAGCTTCAGCCCATGTCACCCTGGTGGGATGGGATGAGGCAGAGGCCCTGTGCTACAGCAGGGCAGCCGTCCTTGAAGAATGGCAGTTTTCTATGGTTTTACCATAAATTACAACCCAGTGACATCTGAGAGAGGTCTGAGGAGTTATTGCCAGGACACTTCCTTTCCACCCTCAGGCATAGTCAGTATTTGCTGTTTCACTTGGTCCTTGTAGGGAGCACCTGAGAGGGGCTTAGCTCCCTGGTCACTTTGGGATAGCGTGTTGATAGCAAGATAGGGCTGTTCATTGCATATCCTGTACTTGCAGGGTATGAAATGGTGTGGCTGAGTGAACAGGGGTGAAGAATGCATGAAGGAAGCAAAATGTTTAAGGAGGTACTGGTAAAAAATGTAATGGTTGGTCTAATCTCATGGACTTCTACTTTCAGGCAGTCTGTAGAAGACGAAATCTCCTGCTCTGTGTTAGGGTTAGCCAAGGAGCTGCTCTAGATGAAAGGAGAGCCTCAAATATCCAGAAGTTCCTGGGAAGTAACTTAACTCATCCTTGTACCTTGCCTGGACACCTGCAGTGCACAACAGGTGGTTTCCCTTCACAAGCAAAACTCATGCAACACACAGTATCCCTGCACGCTTGATTAAGGTCTGAGCCTGTCCCTGAGGCCACGTGTGTCTCCTGGCACTCTCTACACCTGCAAGCACCCCCTCAGATACAGCATTAGAGTTTTCCTGAGCTGGAGTCTCCTTAGATTTGAATGGAGCCCAGGGCAGCCTGTGGCATGGGAGCCCTGGAGGTGCCTGCGAGGGAAGGCACCTGAGGGGTGCAGAGGAGCTGTGATCTGCGCTGGAAATTCACCCCCTGCTTGCTCTGCTGTGTCTCTGCTATGTTGAGCAGCTCTGAAGGAAGGTGTATTTTTTCCAGCCAGATTATCAGCTGAAGAAGAACAAGCCGTCCCGCTGCATCAGTGAGCCCT